AAACAATTTTTTTAACTAATAAATTATTTTTCCTATTATTAAAAGGTTTTTTTATATTACTGAAACTTTTTTTTTGTGATTAAAAACAATTTTTTTAAGTAATAAAGTATTTTCCTATTTATTAAAAGGTTTTTTAATATTACTGAAACTTTTTCCTATTTTTTGTGTTTATAAACTATTTCAAAATCTTTTTTGTGATTAAAACCTATTTTGTATTTTAATATCATTAAAACTTTTTTTTTATTTTTTTCTGATTAAAACTATTTTTTGTGATTAAAATTGTTTTTACTTTTTTTTTAATTGATAGGTCTACTGGAGATCAGAGTCGGTCTCGAGTTCGTCGTTCCGTACCACGAGGTTCTAGTGGTTCGGGGAGCCGCTCTCGGGGCTCTCAGGATTCCTCGCCGACGCAGGACATTCCCGATCCTCCAGTTGTTCCAGGAGTGATGACTGTTGAACAGTTGGTTCAACAGCCCGGTCGTGAGCATCTTCTCTATCTCACCGAGTATCCGTCGGGACGAGGCCAAACATGGTAATTAAGAGTCTTTTTTTTCTTTAAGTGTTTATTCATTATTAATAATTTTATCCTTTTTGATAGGTTCAACCGATCCGGAAATGGGATCAGCTCATGGATCAACCGGATGATGTACTCGGACCTCAAGAAGGGATATCCGACGTTCACACACTTCCCTCCCGCCGAACAAGAGATGTGGTTTCGTCAGTTTGCGGTAAGTATTCTGCTTTTTTAAGTTATATTTTCATCTTTAATATTAATATTATACTAATTGTGTTTTTTTCCAGCAAGAGTTTACATGGCATCCCGATCATACGCCATTTATCCGCAACGCCTTCATCCATAAAGTTATGGATAACTATGGGAAGCAGATCCATGAGTGGAAGCAGAAATGGCGTGTCAATAAGGTATCGGTTTATTAAATTGTTTTTTATTTTTTTAGATTTATTTAACTACTTTTTATTTATTTATTAAAAGGTCCCGAAGTCGGTGAACGACACGGTTTGGAAGGACTTGTGTGAGCACTGGAAGAAAGGCGAGACGGCAGCAACCTCCAGCACCAACTCCACCAACCGCAACAGCGATCGTGGCGGTAAGGGCGTGGCCAAGCACAACATGGGTGCCATGAGTATTGCCACTCTTGGAGATAAAATGGTAACTTGAATCTCTTTTTTTTCAATTATTTAAGTATTTTTATTTTATTTTTATTTTTAATTGTATGCATTTATTCTGATTTCTATTGTTTTTTTAACTTATATTTTTTCTAGGCGGAAGAAAATGATGGCGAGCCGGTTGATTCTTTCAAACTGTTGAAGCGGGCGCATACCAACAAGCATACCGGGGAGATTGATGATGGTCTTATCAAGGAGGTGGTTGACATGATCACCACTCTCAAGGACGACGAAGAGCTCCGTCTATCCCAGCTTCAAACCGATCTCGACTCCACTTNTATTTTTTCTAGGCGGAAGAAAATGATGGCGAGCCGGTTGATTCTTTCAAACTGTTGAAGCGGGCGCATACCAACAAGCATACCGGGGAGATTGATGATGGTCTTATCAAGGAGGTGGTTGACATGATCACCACTCTCAAGGACGACGAAGAGCTCCGTCTATCCCAGCTTCAAACCGATCTCGACTCCACTTCGACAGCCTCGGTCTCCCTGTCCCGAGAACGAATCAACGAGATTGTTGAATCGGTAAGATGTTTTCATAAAAATTCAATTAATTTATTTCTTTATTTTTATTTTATAATATTTTTATTACTAAAATTTGTTTATATTCTTTTTCAGTCGGTTCCAACGAAGAAGGGACGTTTGATCGGTTTGGGTCGTCGATCCAAATCGGTTCCTCCTACATCACAACTGCCTATTGATCCAATGGTTATGGAGCAGCTGCTGGACAAGGATGACCGCATAGCTGCGTTGGAGGCGAAGATGGAGGAACAAGAGAAGGGGTGGGAGGAATCGAGGAAGCAGAACGAGCGCATGATGGAGATGATGAAGCGGATGTACCCGAACGAGCAATTCCCGTAGTTTTTTTTTTATCAAAAACTCTGAATGTTTTTTTTATTTGAACTACTCTATTATCTAATATATTTTCAGTTTTCAATTTTATTTTATATTTTCGAATTTTAATTAAAAATAATAATAATTTATAATTAAAAAAAATATAAATTTTGGAAAATTCCGAGGAACTGGGCTTCCTCGGAAATTTCCGAGGAAATTGAGTCCTCAGAAAATTCCGAGGAACTGGGCTTCCTCGGAATATTCCAAGGACACAAATTCCTCGGAAAATTCCGAGGAAGTCCAGTTCCTCGAAATTTTCCGAGGAATGTGTCTGTCGGAAAATTCCGACGACATGATGTCCTCGGAAAATTCCGAGGAAACTTGTCGTCGGAATTTTCCGATAACTTCTCTCCCTCGGAATGTTTCCATCGGTAAAATCCGAGGGAATTCCGAGGAAACGTCTGATGAAATTGTTTGTCGGAATGTCCTTGGAATTGTGGTTCTCGGTATTTTCTCAGAATTTTCCGAGGAAACCAGAATTTCCGACGAAAATTTTCCGACTACCGGTTTCGTCGGTATATCCTCGGAATACCCTTATTCCGACGACATTCCGACGAATTTTTCCGTCAGAATCGCCGTGTTTTTTTTGTAGTGAATGGGAGTATACGGTCCGGGGTTTGAGGGTTTGGAGGCACAAATCTCATGGTTCTCATCCCAACATTGCCGGTCATGGACTTCTCCTCGTTCTTCTGGTGAGGCGATGTTGGATGTGCTTGCAGATCTGAGACGTGATTCTTTGCAAAGATATTGATGAGTTGGTCTCTTGGAAGCTGTAGAAGCTGCCCAGTCCACTAATGCCTATTCAAAGGTCTCATGGCCGGTTCTCGACCAAGCCGGGTGCATTATTGGTCTATGGACCCCAAAATATTTTAAAAATTTTACATTGATATAGACTCCCAAATTTATTTTAAAAAATCCCAAATCTGTTAAAGATATTTTTTAACCAATTTTTTAATAAATTTTCTATGGCTTTCAAAATCTCAGGATCAACCCTGAAAGATCTGTCACTGTTATGTTAACGTCGGTCTCCTTTCCGAGCTTTTCTTCTTTTATTTCATTTTCTCTGCTTAAGATGCTCTATTTAGTTTCAATCCATGTTCTTATGCTTCTTATCTTTCTGTACTTCTATCAAAAAAACGAAATATTTGATTTTATAGTCTTAACATTTTACCTGTTAAAAATATATTGGCATGGGGCAACTGCCCCGGGTAACAATCAATGTAAATTTATAAGAGTGATAACTAAATTTTGGAAATAATTTTTTGGTTGACAAAATAAAGTTCAATTTCAACTTTGTATAATTTATTTATTTTATTTTTACATAATTTATATATATGTACATGATCTGCCTGAATAATCAACATAATTATGTTAGATTTCAATTCGTATTATAATGCAATATTATTATTTAAAATAAATTTTAAACAAATTTGTTACAGTATCCAAAGTTTGTGACAATTTTTGTTTACAGTTTGTTTATGTTGATTTCATTTAAAGTTTTACTATGAGATAAAAAAATTATAATCATAGTAGTTATAGTAGTAAGGTAAGTGATATACCAAGTGAGCTCATATTGTATGAGGATGATATGTTGAAAAATATAATTAAAAATCAAACTGTAAGCGAAATTTAGGCAGTGGACTATTAACAATATACATCAAACTATAACAATAAACATCGACAGTGTGAAAGCACCATAGCCTAATGGCTAAGGTTTAAAGGCTTTTACACAAGGTTTGGGGTTCGAATCTCAGGCTATGCAGTTTCTACACCAAGAGGGTTTCAATTCCGGAGAAGGTGAATGGCAAATTATGCAGATTGGAGAAAAGAATTATAAGAGATATTCGGCATGTCGCAAGACGTACCGTCAGGAATGAATCTCATAGGGCGGCTCAGACTGATGCAGTCAGACGTGAATCTGTATAAAACAGGTAGAATTGTCGGCTGTAATATCGTCTATATAATATTTCTCATAGTTTGTAATGCATAATTATCCAGTATTAAAAAAAAAAGACATCGACAATGTTTGATATTTAAACATGTATAATAGGAGGTGAACTTAAACGGTTATAATATACTAGTTCTACAATAATACCCCTGTTCTTTTCTCCGACACTGCTATCAGCTGCGGCATCAAAAACATGCACTAAGATGTTCAGTGCTTTCGACGCCATGGCTGCAGATGTAAGACCCAGAGGTGACTTTTTGCCTATAATCTCAAGACACCACTAATGCTGTTATTTTCCGCGTCTGATTTACTTATTATTCTGGGCCGTAGCGGCTGGAAAAATGGTTGTTTTTGTCCCGTCAGCCGTGAATTTGCCATGAGAATAGATGTGGTTTCCGGTCACTGACGCTTATAGCAGCGTCAAACAAAATAACAGGGGTAATATGAAATCAAATCTAAACGGTTATAATATACTAATTCTCTTGCCCATTCGTTGCTCTCCCTAGGTTCTATAGCTCTGGTACAATTGAGGAAGTGTTGAACCTGAGTTACGTTAGATCTTCTTTGAGTCATCTTCTATCTTTTATAAGCATATTCACGTACGTCTAGTTTCGTACAACCAACGTAACTCACAAAAAAAAATGTTGGGATAGCAAACCTTAAACCATTTAACCATAGATTTTTAATGACTGAATCTCCATTTCTACACCTTTTTATTCTTGGCTAAAGATATCTTTTGGGAGAAAAAAAAAAGTTTTTACATTTCTTTTTTGAACAAAAGAGACAAAAGCAAAGTTGAAGAAGCCAAGTAGATTTTTCTAAAGAATCAAAGTCCGCTATTATTGGAATCAATTCAATCACAATTAAACATATTGGTAAACATCTTTATAGTCTTCATTTTTAATAGTTTCTTGGTCTCCTCTTCAAGTTTTGATTATTATTTCTTCACCTGAACCAGGAAGAATATTTCAAACTTATTGAGTAGAACTTCTTTCTTGGACAGCGGCTTTGATGCTTCTTAGAGATTCCTCCAAATCATTACATAGCTGATGAGGATCACAAATGGCCGTTGGATCCACGGTTAAAGAAATAGTCATCTTATTCATATAACTTTGAAAATGCATTGTCAACGCCTGATCAAAACCAATTTTATTGTCAATTAATAGTTACTAGTAAATATGGAATAGAATGGTCAGCGATTTTACGTGGGGGTGTCCATAAGCACTCGGGGCTATGTAGGTGATGGGATGCCCAAATAAGCTAACTTCTTCACTAGGACCAACCAAGTTTGAAAACGACATAGTTGTGTTTGATATTGTTCTGCTTGTTAAACTAGCCGCCCTCTGCAATAATTTAAAATTGATTAATACAATAAATTAATGAACGGGTGTTTTGTAGTTTTTTTTAATTTGTCAACAACATATAAAACATGCATGTTTATATACCTTTTTTTTTTGTCAAAGAAAACATGTTTATATACACAGGTGGTGACTGACTTAACAATAATATTAACACAAACCACTAGGTTATATATTGTGATTTTGATAGACGATTTATCTAGCTAGTAAGTTATGGCCATGGTTGATAATTTAACTAAAATAAAGAGGAATTATGTATTATTAAACTGACCACAACTCCAAGCAATTTTATTAGGATTTTAGTAGAGGTGAAGGTTAGCAAAGCTTCTAACGAGTTCTTCTTCTTGTCAATGATCGACTTGACTGTTCGGAGATGTTCCAACGGGTCATCGTGTAATGCAAGAGAGAATGGAAAGAGCATATAGCCGATCCAGTTTCCCCATTTACACTTAGATCCTTTAGCCATCATATTAGCTAGATCCTGCACTTTTTAAAGAAAAAAAAACGACAATATTGAACTCTGTTCTTATAGTAAAGGTATTATATATATATATATTTTGTAAGAAAAATGTCTAATTTGCCTGAACTCCAGTAGTAGGTCTTATGTTTACGAGCAGACATGCCCTTAGCCTTATTTCTTTAAGCATATTACTTGAATTCATTTTAGATTCGTGTTCTCCTGCTTTCTTCTCCTTTTCACCTACAATCTTGTCATAATATTATTAAATTTCACATGTTATAATCGTATTTCTTCTTTCTTAAAAGACAAATCATAACAATTACCGTATCTTCTTTCTAAATACTGCGAGAGAGCAGCTTGAGCTACTCCAAGTAGAACATCGTTGACTGTCTGCCAGATCAGAAAAATAAATAAAAATAAGATCAAATATGGAAATATAATTTCATAGAGTATAAACAATTTCACTAATATAGAAAGTTTATGGGGGAAAGTTTACCATCTTCATGGCGTTCTTGATGAGCTTAATGTCTTCAAAATTTACGGTACGATGAACCAAACACATCCGCTTACTCTTTCTTAACCGGAAATCGCCTTTCATGGGCGTTTCAGTGTCCTTAAGAAACATTGTCGTAGCAATAAACTTCAATGCATCACAAATCGTATTCCACACCAACATAACCATCAATAATAACCGGGGAAAACCGGCCACTGATTTTGATGTCGACCTCCGGTTCTCATTAGGTAAACTTGGGAGTTCATCGTGGTTTGATGTTTTGCGCGTACAAGCGTGGACTAGAGACATCAGAGACATACCATCACCAACCGAGTGATGAATTTTTAAAATGATGACGTTTTGAGCGTCTGACGTTGTCAAGTCAAGTAAGTGAACTTCCCATAATGGCTTCGACGTATCCAACGGGATCGTAGTAAGGTCGGAAACGTAACTCTCCAGAAACCCGTCTGCGTTTGCGTTCTCTAGCTCTATTTTGGGAACGATGACGTGATCCTCGGCCACCACCTTCGTACGAACCCATTTTTGTTCTCGTCCGTTGTTATTCACCTTCATTAATTTTATTTGAATAGAAATATTAATATAAAATGTTAAAACACAAAACATATTTCTCTTCTTTGAAATTTATAACTGAAACTAATTAAAAACCTTCTAAAAATATGACAATCTGAAAATAGTTATACAAAATTATATGTCGATTTAATTTTGCCATGGCCTAGAATATCCATGTTACTATGAATTGAATTAAAGACACAACATGACCAGGGACAGCGCAAGTGGAGTATGAGTGTGTGGCAAATACCAGACACTGATTTTTTTGTTTTCCTTTAATTCATTTAAAATTTTATTTAAAATCTTTAATTTAAATATTTGCTACAAGAATGTCTATACTAAATAGTTTCTGGATCCGCCTCTAAAGATAACCATCATAACATTTTATATAAAACATGTACTTAGTCTTTCTTTCTCACCAATATGCTGGAGAAACGTGGATGTTTAACCAAAGTTTGCTCTAGTCCTTCGACAAACACATCTCGATTGATCTTGCTCTTCACGCCAATCACCGCAGTGGTGTAGCAGTTGAACTCTGGCGCTGTAAACAAACGCGCCGTCGGAGTAAGCGGTTCATCATGATGTTCTCCCTTGTTTCCCGCTAGTCCCTGTCTTCCTGTCTTAATTTTCATAGTTCACTTTGTGTTTTTTTCCACTCTTTCAGCCTCGGCTTAAAATGATTCATCCTTTTTATAGTGAAATTGGCTCCAGTCGTGCATGCCATTTTCTCCCTTACAGTTGTTTTAAAATCATTTATAATCTTTGGAAATATTCCTTTATAATCATTGGAAATATTCATTTTTTCTTATAAAACCGGCTGTCTTCGATCTCGACCCAATAAATAATTTTATCCTCTCTATAGGCTATAGCGTATGTGCAACATTTTCCTTTCTAATCGTTTGAAACTTTCAGTTTCTTATTCCCACTCTTAAAATATTTTATGCAGTAGTTGATACTACTTACCTAAGCATATTTTGTAAACTTTTACACTCTTTGTTCTGTATTTTTTTTTAACTAATGACGTTCATATATATATATGCTAATCCTCTATTTCATAGCCTCCAGTCGTGTGGGCCATTTTTTTATTTTTAATAATCCTTGGAAATTTTCACGTTTTATTAGTTATTCCTCGCTCTCGTCTCAGAAGCTGTCCAGTAATAAAAAAATCATTAAAATTCTCTATATATTATCAGATAATCTGTGAGATTTAAAATAGTTTGTTAATATAAATTTTAATCATTAAAAAATTCTGTCTTACAGAAAAATAATATTATAATTGATTCAGATAACTGATTGTAGAATTACTTTATATTTTTTTTTAAAACGTGAAAACCGGTTAGCTTTCATGGGAAAAAAAAGAGTATTTTGTTTTTTTGTTTGTGTAGCTCTAATAGAACCAATACAATGATCACAGTTTTTTTTTTATCATGAAGATATTTTGTAGATGTTTTTTGCCTGGGCTTTAAAATACATACAAAATTCTAATAAATCTTTAGCAACAAATATAATTTATATAAGAATATATAACCATTAAATTTATTTCTATGAAAAATGTGAAAGTATTTTATTTCGATATATATAAATAATTGATAGAAATAAAGAAATTGATAAAACATATATATTCTTTCTCTAACTCTACAATTAGTTACCATAAATTATTATTTGTAATATTAGTTGTGTTATTCGGTAATTTGTATTAATAGTTCTAGAGTTACTTTTTATTTATAGATCTAACTAAAACAAATAACTAATAAAAATCAACAACCAATCAAATTATAATTATTTTAAAAACTTAACATATTAACGACAGATAAGCAAAATCAATTAATTGAAATTTCAATTTATATATATATATATATATAATATGATTATTGCTTTAAAACTAAGAATAAATTTGGTTAAGGTAAATTTGAAAACATATATTAAGAAAATGGTAATTTAAGATATTTCTCTCATAGTTTTTGTCAAATCACAAATCACACTTTCTCACTCATTTTTTTATTTAGTGTTTAACATAAACTCAAATGGGTTAAGGAAACAAATTCTTCCTTAAATTATATCCGATCATCATTCTATTTTATTAAAAATAATACACTGGACCAAATGTTTTTATTAAGACTAAGGATAGTTTATATATTTTTTAAAAGAATTATATTATTTATTTTAAATTATTTTAAAATATATCTGCTTTAATTAAATCAGATTAACTAATAAGAAAAAATAATATATTTTAAATTTTAAATAAAAAATGTCGCCTTTTAGACATATATACCTAATATTAATGTGAAATCCAAAATTAAATCTTAAAATATTTTTATTTGTATAAATTCGTTAAAATTTTATTAGCGTACATTTTAGAAGTTTATTATACCAAAAATATATCTCATTATTTTTTAAAATAATTTTTTCTTACTTTTAATTTACATTATATTTTTCATCATTGACTTTAACAATTGCAGAACTGGTCATTTTATTGGTCTTTTGGTCTTCTTTACTCAATTTATATTCATGTTTTTAAAACACATAAAATAATTAGTTCATATTTATAGTAACACAAAATACATGCATCTCAACAAACAAATAAAAATTAAATACATAAGAATATAAAAGAACTAATAACACAATAAATATATTATTTTTCCCTCTTGTTTTATTTATGTCTACTTTCTTTTTTTTCCTATTAAAAATAAATATACTAATTTTATTATACTCAAAGACTGTGAAAACTACTTTGATTAATGTAATGTTAAACGGATACCATATAATAATTTTAAAAGACTTACCATATAATAAAATTTTAAATGACTTTCCATATAAAAATTTAATTCATTTTTATATTAATAGATGATTTAAATAAACATTTTCTTGATTAATATAATTTTAATGACTTTCCAGAACTTTTGTGTTTTAATATATAAAAATATTTTAATCATTTCTAAAAGTGATCTCATCTATGATGATCACATTGTCATTGGAAAATGGTTGGAGTTTTTTTAAATTATATATTTGACTATTTTTCATTTATTTGACACAGTTTTATTTAATGACTATATATATACTAGGTGTTTTGTTGCACCATATGAAGTAAAAAAATTAAAATATATTTAACAGATAAATATAAATTATATTTAATATAAAATTTTAATAATATTGTAAATAAAGAATTCTTATCAATAATTTAATATAAAGTTTAACTTAATTAAACATAAAAATTAAGATAAAAATAGTTTTTTTTTATTTTAAATTATAATCTTAGATATATTTTTCTATCTATTTCTTTTAATTAAATATATCAAATAAATTCGTAAAATATTGCATAATTATCAAAAATAAAAATAAAGCGATATTTATTAAATTGTAGATATATATAAAACTAATGTTACGATTAATTTTTTATAACTTTTTAAGAATATTGTACGCATTTTTGAAAATTTCATTAATAAAATTTTATAATTTAAAATATATAACTAAATGATATTTCGAAAATTTTAATACCATATTTGAATATATTTATTTTATGATTTATTACCATATTCTAAAAAAAAAGTTCCAAATATATAAATCGACATTAAATGTAATATATGATTCATTACTATATTTTAAAAAGCTTAACAGAAATATAAATTAACATTGAATGTAATTATCCATGTCATATTAAGATATAAGCCATGTAATCAATTTTAGTAGTCATGCCACATTATTTTTCTGAAAATGATTGTAGAGAGAACATGTGGCAAAATTCATTTCAAATAATATATAGAGGATAGTGAATGAGTGAGTTTAATTAATATTATTAGGTTTAAATTAAGTAGTTTTCTGAAATCTTTGATTTATTGTATTCACTACTAATATTAGTCTATTAAAAACCATTTTTGTAATTGTTAATGTAGTATCATATGTATTTATATGTATATTATCAATTTATATAATGTAATCTATGATATTTAAAAAAAGATTTTTTTGTTAATTCATCTATATTTAAGATCTTTCATTGTTAATTTGGAAACATAGAATAGATTAGGTAGTTCTAGCATTACTTTTTTTTTTAAATTAATTAAATAAATAAAAATAAAATAACCATCAATGAATCAAATTATAACAATTAATTGGAGAGTTCTCCTATGAGAGACACATCAGAAGGAATTACTAGAGTGATTTCTCAATTAATATATATGAGAATATTAAATTCTGAATATATTTTTCTTTCATTTTCACCATTGCCATCCAATATAAAAGATAAACGGAGTGTGTACTGGTTTTGTATCAAGTGTTTAGCTAATATATATATTTTTGTTTGAAACTAGATTTTTTAAGTTTTAAAAACTATACTTTTTATTTTTAATGTAATTTAATTGATTTTTTAGTTTAAAAGCATGAAAACAGATAACCATAAAATATGTAGTTACAGTTAAAATTTAATATATTTTATTAATATGTGTAAAAACTTTAAAGCATCCTTAATTTTAGCATATCTGATATTCAACTTAATTCCTATGAATAATAGACTTTTGTATCCGTAACTGATGTAGAAAATAGATAGCCAGAAATGAGTATTTACTAAAAATGTGAATAACCAAATTTTATGATCCGACTCAACTTATTACCCAAAATCAGATATCCAAAAAAAAATTTATATTTTTTTGAATATTTATGTTTTTATAATAAAGTTTTTAATATATTTGACAAAATATTAACATATTCAAATAAAAAACTTAGAATATTCTAAGGAAATAGTCACATTTACCATAAATTTAAAACATAATTTAAATATTTATATCGGATCTAGCTTCTTCTAAGATACTATTGTATGTAAGACTATACATCTTTATTATTATTTGAACTTAAACATACTTTATTATATATATAATATATAGATAATGAAGAGCGTACACATATATATATTAATAACATTCTTGTTATTTAAGGAGTTGAAAACTTTTTTTAATTATATTGACACTACTAATTAACATAATAAAATAAGCATTTCATAGGAGCCTTGTTTTTGTTGGTTGTTCTATCCCGATCTTGCTTTCAAGACTATCTGTAATTTGAGTGATGTAACAACCGTTTGTGTAAAAAAAAATGAGAGAATGACAGAATTGAGGATTTTAATATATTTGTGTCACGTTTTCTAACAAGTTTGGAAGATTCAACGGCCAGGAGAAATATATATATTTATCTGCCGTTTGGGCGATCAGATTGGCCAAGATGACACGACGACTGGGTCCTACTAAATAAGGTAGATGAAGTTGACTATCTGGGCTTTGATTCCTTATTACTTCACTTCTTTACGTAATATAATATGAGTTATTTTTGGGTTTACCCCTTAGGTTGAACCTCAAGATTCACTATCCAATAAAATTGCATCATTTCATATGTGATATCTTTTAAAAAAGAAATAAAATCTTGTTTAAGTTATATTATGTTTTTAAGAATAAAAATAAAAAAAATAAATAAAAAATAATAATAACTAATAAAAACGAAAAACAATTCTTAAAAAAAAAACATTTTAATACTAAACCCTAAACTCTAATCCTAAACCCTAAACCCCTAGGTAAATCATAAACCTTTGGATAAATTTTATAAAAAGAAATCTTTAAAATATATTCATTTCACTAAAACACTAAACTCT